AGATGGCAGTGAGTTAAGTCTTTGGAAAGGAAGGGGGTGTGGGGGGAAAGTCAATGGGACAGAATGTAAACTCAATTGACTCCCGCAAATACTCTTAGTGACTGTTCTGGCAGGGCTATCCTTTCGTTCTGTAGACGTGCTGGCCACCCAGCCAACACCTCTCAGGTCGGGCCCAAGGAAAGCACACTCAGATGTGGGGAAGCCTGGAAGTTCCAACTTGGATCTAGGGAGAAAAGGTCAAGCACAGGTTCCATTCCCACTGGGAACAGTTCTCCTAGCGCAGGGCCAGGACAGAGACCTGAGGTGGGGAGGAAATGAACAACTGCCCAGCACCTCAGTGTAAGTGCAAGCCCTGTGGGTCACCATGACCCACCTTGGCAATTGTTATCCCTCATCTGAAAGAAGAAGGTGGCCCGGAGTAAGAAGAAACATTGTGCTCCAGGTCCCAAGGTTAATCAGGACCAGAACCAGGAGATGGACCCCGATAGTCTGACCCCAAACCCCTAAGCAAGCCACCATCACATGCAGAAAAGAACAGGGAAAATGGATTGCTCCTGCATCCCCCACTACAATACCCATGAGATTTCTTTCCAACCCGGTGAGGCCAATTTTCCCTTTTAAGACCATCAGAAACTTGATTCACACTAATAATAATAAAAAAAATAGAAAAAAAAATAGAAACTTGATTCATAAAGTTCTACTGAAGCAACAGGAAGTCTATGCACTTAAAACCTGGGGAAGTTGTGTCTCAGCCGAAAGCAGGAAGAAGGCCATGAGAATATTAAGACGATCTGAAACGAGCAGCCTAAGCACAGAAAAAAACAGACTTCATGAGGTAAAGGGGAAAAAAATGAATGGAACCCAGGCTGGCAATGGTTTGTTTTTCGAGCAACCGTGCCATCAAGTGCCACATGAGGGAAGGAGAAAAGGAATTAAAGTCAGCACTACACTTCTCCTCCAATATTCTTTCCTTGAGAAACTCCAATTCAAATTTAAAAAGAGAGACAGCGGGCCTGGAGATGGGTCCATAAGTCAAAGCCTGTGCTTGGCATACAGGAGCCCTGGTTTCAATTCCTGGCACTGCACCACCTAGAATGACCCCTGAGCACATAGCAAGGAGTAAAGGAGTAGGCCCCCAGCAGAACTGGGTGTAGCCCAAAACCCACAAAAAAAAAAAAAGGAGAAGTGAGGTCTTAATCTGAATCTTTGAGACTATTACCCACGGACAGTAGAAACGAGGGTCAGGAGGACTGGTCCACAGTTGGAAGCTTATCAAAAGTGGGGGGAAGAGGGAGAGGGCAGTTAGTCTAGAGAAGGGACCACTATGACAATGTCACTTGGAAATGATCACTCTGAACAAGAACTGAGTGATGAAAGTAGGTGAACGGATATTAATAACCTTACAGTACTTGTATAGCAAACCATAATGACCAAAAGGAGAGACAGAGAGCGAGAAAGAAAGAGAAAGAGAGAGAGAAGAGTCTGGTGTAGAGGCAGACTGGGGGTGGGGGTGGATGGAGGGAAATCTAGGACATTGGTGATGGGAAATGAACACTGGTGAAGGGTGAGGGGTGGGTGTTGGAACATTTGTATGAAACTCAATCATGAACAACTTTGTAACTACTTAACTCACAGTGATTTAATTTAAAAAAATTTTTTTTAGATTTGAACTTTGTGCTTACCTAAGAAACACAGGAGATGGATGAGATCGGATGGTATTATTCTGCCCGTTCCTAGAACGTAGTAGCCCCTATAAGGACTCATGGGCAGAGCCAAGGTAAAGAGTACTGTTTCTTTGAGGGGGGAAGGTGTTAAGGCCACACCCTGTGATGCTCAGGGCTTATTCACAGCCCTGTGATCAGGAATCACTCATGGTGGTGCTCAGAGAAATATCTGTTGTGCCAGGAATTAAACTGGGGTTGACACATGCAAGGCTAATGCTTAATGCCCTGCACTATCTCTCAGTCCCAAACTGCACTAACTTCAAATCTGATTTTTCACCAATATAACATTGCCTTTAAAAAAAATCATTGAGATTCTGTGATTCACAATACGGTTAGTGATGACTTCTCACGCGCAGAATTCCAAAACCACACCCATCACTAGTGTACTTCCTCCCTCCCCCAAGGACCCCAATGACCCTCCCTTTCAACATCATCCTCCCTCCCCCATCAATTCAACTGTGTGGTTTGATTCTCCTGTTGTGTTGCCTTTGAGCCTTTGTTGTGTAACTTTGGGTCCCAGGCATGAGGGAGCTCATTCTGTATCTCTCCCTTTCATTCACTTAGCATGATAAAGTCTCTAGTTTTATCCACATTGCTACAAACTGCATAGCATGGCCCTTTCTTTAAGATGCATACTTTTCCATTGTGACACTGCCTTTTCACGACAATATTCACTGAAAGATGGCACCACCAAAGACTGACACACGCCCCAACCACCAAAGCTACAAACCAGGGGTCTCCTCAGTCAAGATGACAGCCATGCCAAGCATGAGGCTACACTTTCCTAACTTCAACTTTCTCAGTCAGTATGGTCCCCCACCCTATCGGAGTCCCTGGATCTGGAGCTAATTACTGTCAGAGACTGAAATTCCCCAATCGGGAATCAAGACATATTTGGTAAGAACCACCTCTTTTGAGGTGGCCTACAGGCCAAGTTGCCAATGTCGAGGGGAGAACGAATGCACAACCACAGAGCCAAGGAGACATCATCAGTCCTTTGCTCATTCTGCCCAATAAACAACAGGGGACAAGAGCGATCATACAGCAGGTAGAGAGATTGCCTTGCATGTGACCGACCCGGCTGCAATCCCTGGCACCACGTATCAATCCCCCACTACTGCCAAGTAGTGATACCTGAATAGAGTCAGAAATAAGCCCTGAGCACCACCAGGTGTTCCCCCAAACACACAAACAAAAAAACCTATACTGTGCATTCAGAAGCTTGCAGAGAGAAGCTTGGATCTGACGATGCCTCGCTGGACTCAGGCCAAAGGTAGCCTCTCCCTCCGTCTCATAAAATGGAAATAAAATCAGGGACCTCAGCACTAACTGTGGCCATTCTGTGACTTAAAAATGAACTTGCACATGCCCCCAGGGCAGCTGGTGTCTGCTGAGTGGTGCCAGGTTCTGCCTCTTAAAATAAGAGCAATGCCAGGCGTATCTCCTGCCTTCCAGAGGTGGAAAATAAGCCCTAGGGAAAGCCACAGAGCTAACGAAGGGTCCTAAGATAGGTGAGAAAAAAGAATGGCTGCCCACAAGCAAAGGTATCTGAAAATCTCCCAGAGAGGAGTGCTAGACACCAGCCAGAGGCCAGGTACCTCCAAGTACCTCTGGGCAGGAACCCGCCCTCTCTACTCTTACACCCTGGTCCTCCTTAGAACCGAAGTCTTTCAAGACCTCAAATATGCAAATGACATCAGGGAGAAAACTCAGAGGCGCTGACCACTTCAGCAAGCCCTCAGCAAGGGACAGAGACTACCTCTCCCAGTTCCCTCTCGGTAACAGGAACCCCGGGGGGCCTGGGAAATGAGCCCAGCTGCAGGGCCTGGCAGCCAATCAAAATGAAGCTTCTTTCCTATTTCCACCCCATGCAATCTTCCAAGAATGGGAGAGACTCAAAGACAGGGTTTAAGCTCCTTTTCACGGGGAGTCAATATTTTCTCAAGGTAATCCTCCCCAGGGAGGGGAGGAGCAATTACCTAGAGCCCAGAAAGAAAAAAAACGGAAAAAAAAGTGGGGGGTGTAGTAGGATGCTTGTTAACAGGGCACAGGAGCCAAAAGGAGAGGCCACACCCATTCCCCTTCTACCATTCATTGCACAAATATCTAAGGAGTCCTGCTCTCCAGTGCTCCGGGAACCCCTCCGCAGGAGACAGGGAAGGTAGAAATCAAAGGTGACTTGAGCAAGACACTTTCCACCACTGCGCCCCTCTCCAGACCAGAACCTTCCGGCTCATTTTCTGACAGCCCAGGTCACCACAGCCCATTTTACAGAATCCGAGAGAGAAGGCGGTCTGTCCAAGGTCACACGGGAGCCAGGGACGATCCGCAAAGTCCCGGTCCCCAGCATCGGTCGCCTCCTTCGCGTTCAACCCCTCCCCCGCCGACTCCATTTCTGAGCAGCAGGGTGGGGAGCAAAGTCAGGGGTCCAGCAGGGGAAGTCCTCGGCGGTTCCGCTTTCCACCCAGCCCCGACCCAGGGCGACCGAGAAGACACCCAGGTTCGAGCCCCCGCTGCGTGTGTATTCGTTCGGTGCCAGATAAAACCCCGCTCCAAGGGCATCCATCCACCCGTTCACGGTGCACTCCCATTAAAAACCAAAAAAAAAAAAAAAATGATGATGATGATGATGATGATGATGATGATGGTGATGATGATGATAAAAAGATAAAGGGGCCAAGGGGAAGTGCTCCTCCAACAGATGCGGGGTGGTTACCCAGGAGGAAGTGTCGAGGTCAACGGGGAGCTGGTTCATTCCCCCCCTCCAGTTCCTCTTTTCCAACACCGACCTGCCAAGCCCGCCCACTCCCCATGGAAGTTGGCCGAGGGGTGGGGGCCGCGCGGGGGGCGCTGCGGCACGACCCTGCGCTCTCACCTGGCTCACAAGACGTCGGCCCGGCCGAGCGGGGTGCATGGAGGGGTGTGTGTGTATGGCGGGGGGGGTTGGGGATGGGGAGACCGACCACCCCGCGCGTCCCCTCCCTCGGGGCGCGCTCCCTGCAGCCGGCTGCACCCAGGCGGCGGCCCCGCGCGCGTCCTGGGCGTCCTCAGCCCACCCGCGGCTGCCCGGGCCACCCTCCCCCCCACCCAGTCCCGAGCCGCTGGGCGCCTCTCCGGCACCCGATCGCGCCCCGGGCCTCCCACCTCGCCCCCACCCAGCATCACGCGCGCGCGCCCCGCACCCCGCGCGCCCCGGGCAGGAGCCGTGCGGGGGCGGCGAGGGTGGGAACGGGGAGTACCCGGGCGGCGCCGGCGGGGGGTCCGGGTGGCACGTACCTGGCGGGCGGCCGGGCGAGCTGCGGAGCGGGCGTGGGGCGTGGGGCGCGGGGCGCGGGGCGCGGGGAGCGGAGCCGCCGTTTCCGGGTTGGCCGCTCTCACGTCACCGCCACAGGTTCGCGAGCGGCCCCGGCGCGGCGGCGGCAGCGGCCCCGGCGAGTGCCAGGCGAGAAATAACTATAAAAGGAAGAGACGCCTCGAGGAGGAAGAGGAAACGCTGTTTACCTTCGAGAAGCCCCAGCCGCCGGCGCTCGCACAAAAGGAGGACGCTCGCCGACGCCGCCTCCCGCCCCCCGCGCCCGGTCCCCGCCGCATCGCGGGGCCCCGCGTCAGCGCGCGTGGCGCCCCGGGACCGCCCCCCAAAAGGCGGCGGCGGCGACGGCGGCGGGGGAGGGGGCGTCCGGGCGCGAGCCTGGGTCTTGGGGACAACCCCACGCCGCTCCCCCCCACCCCCCGTCCCCATCCCCCAGCCCTCCCGGGACCGTGATGACCTTGGGCGAGTCGCAGCTGCTGGGGTGCGCTGCGAGTGGGGAGCGTGCAGGGAGCTCTGGGCCCTCCCGGCGGAGGGGACACACCAGCTCCGGGAATACGGGGAGGGCCAAGGTCACAACCTGTCGGGCAGGTCACAGCTTCAGCTGCCCCCCCCCCCCGCCCTGGCCCGTGCCCCACCTGGACGTGGGATGATGCCCTGTTGGTCAGGGAGAGGCTGTGCATTCAGGACCTCCATCCATTCCTCACCGTCCCCCCCCCCATTCCTGCGAACCCCAGATGTTCTGGGAGGGCCTGTGAGAACCCGAGCTGTTCTAGGCCCTGGGGGTAACCGCCGGAAGCCCAAACAAAATCCCTGCCCGGAGCTGCTGGGGAGCAGACAATACATGAAATATCTGCTGCGAAGGGTGTTGCCCATTTGCTAGAGAAAGCAAACGCAGACCCAGTAGATAGAATCTGGCTCTCCCATGACTCGGTGCAGAAATTCCCAAGCCACAAGCTTCTCACTGTGACTCCAGGGGAGGTCCCACCTTGGTGGGTAATGGTCAAGACCTCATTTCTCCACCGGCACAGGAAGGACTTGCCTGGAAAATTAAGATCACTGTACTCTGTCCTCGCCTTGCCCCCACGTTCATCGGCTCCGCTAGCACGGCCGTCCTAGCATCGTCTTGAATTGGAGCCAAGTGTTTAAGGAATATAGACCATGTTCATTAAAGTATCTCTTCACTGGCCAGGAACAAGGCACCAAAGGTTACACACACACACACACACACACACACACACACACACACACACACACAAACCCTGGCTGCCAACCCCATTTGGTCCCCAGAGTACTGCCGGGAGTGATTCCCCGAACACTGAGCTGGTCCTCTCTCCTGATCACCTTCAGTTTCCCTCACTCCCACTCCATTAGATAGCTCAAAGGGTTGGAACTCATGCTTTGCATGAAGAAGACCTCACTCTCACACCGTTCCTCCCACCCCGCACCCACACTGTTGTATTGTTTTCCAGCTTTTCTGCCAGTCATACTGGATTGGAGTGCAAACATGACAGCAAAGATTTGATGGAGTTTTTGAGCATTTATGACTTTTCTCTGTATGCCCTTTCTCTAACCCAGGTCCAGCTGGGGTACTGAGAGAATGGGTTTCTTTCCACGAGGACTTCCAAGCAGGGATTCTGATCCTGAGGGGGAAATAAAAGGCGTCAAGATAGGTAAGTGCAAAGAATAGAACAGATGCCAAGATAGCAGCAACCTTGAAGGGGGAAGGGTGAGCACTCAACTCTGAAGCAAAGAACTCCAAGAAGCAAAGGGATCCTCTCCTCTCTCTAGAAGTGTTAGACATCATTTAAGTCAAGTGAGAAAAATGGGGGAAAGCATCTTGTGAGCATCAGTGTCTTGCTGACAGATCTGTTCCCAACATCACTATAGAAGAGTGAGGAAGTAAGAAATAGGTCTTGAAGTATGAAGATAAGAGTAGGGGGGAAAAAAAGGTTTGTGATCAGACCGTACTGAGCTGAGTTTCTTTCCTTCCTTGGCCACTTACCAAGTGGGCATTAAAAATTCCAAACATTTTTGAAGTACAAACCAGGTGCCAAATGTTGTGTCCATCAGATCTAGTGCTTGCAACAGCCCCACAGGGCTCGGTGTTATGCAACAAGATAAGGAAGCTGAGAGAGTTGGAATTTGCCTGCGGTCATACTAATTAGATGTTGTAGAGCTGGGCACAAACCCAGATTGTCTGGTTGCAAAGCCCAGCTCTTCGCCACTCTAAACTTCGTTGCTCATCTGTGAAATGGAATTGATGAGAAACTACTTGATTAGATTATGTTGGGATTGAATAAAATAGCACCCATATAGAAGATTGCACATCATTAGGACCTGGGACACAGGTATCACCATTGTTGTGATCATCACAATATTTGTTAAAGGTATAGGGGTAAGGCACTTCCTGGCATGCCCAGACTTTGCAAGAAGTTTGGCATAAATGTGGGTTTGATGAAGTAAAATTTGGATGTGTGGGACACTGCGTTTGATTCCCAGCACCATTAGCATCAACTGGCATTGGCTGGCCTAAATGGGTGCAGACTGGCATTGACTGCCATAGGTCGACACAGAATGTATCTACCTAGCACAAGTTGGCATAGACTGTACAGACTGGCACAGAATGTCACAGGTTGGCATCAACTGGCACTGGTTGGCATAGAAGAACACTGCCTGTCAGGGTTTTACATGGACAGACACTAATCCACATGGGTCAGCATAAACTGGCAAAAATTGGCAAGAATGGTACCAGCTGGCATAGGCTGGTATCACCTGGCAAATTTGGCACTGGTTGGCATTGGCTGGCACCAATTTTCACTGACTAGAATTATCTTCACTGCCTTACACCAAATGGCACCAGTTGGCATGGGCTGGACCACCCAGCAAGGTTGGCATGGGTAGGCATAATCTGGCACAGATGGGCATGGACTTGTACTGCCTGACAATGATGTCCAACGTTTAATGGCAAAGAAGTTCAACACAGGGAGGCAATTCCTGGCACCAGTGGGCTCCACCAAGCACCAGTTGGCAGTTTGGCAGTGGCACAGACTGGCACGACTGGTATTGACAGGCACCATCTGGCACATTTAAACATTGGCTGCCATAGACTAACACCAGATAACACCACCTGGCACAGATGGGTATTGACTGTCATAGGTTGGTAAGGACTGGAACATTTGATGTGGGTTTTTGCAGCACAGTTTGGTACTAATTGCCACTACCTGGCATGTGTTGGTATAGGCTGGTACCACTTGGTACATACTGGCACTGACTGGCATATACTGGCACAAATTGTCACAGACTGATACTGGTTTTTAGACTGGTAAGGCTGGCACCATCTGGTATAGACTGGCAAAGGTTGGTATACCAGTTGGCACTGAGCAGCACCAGTTGACAAATACTGGGGGCAAGGATGACACAGGTTTGTATAAGCTGGCACTGCCTGGTACATATTGGTATTGACTGGTATAGACTGGCAGATAGTCACAAACAAAGGTTGGTAAGGTCCAACACAGTATGGCATAGACTGGCAAGGTTGGTACCATCTGGTGAGATAGGCACTAGCTAGTGCCTATCCAAGTTAGTATTGAGTACCACCAATTGGAATGAGTTGACATTGACTGGCACTGGTCAGCATGGTCTGATAGTGTCAAGGTTGGCATCAGATGGCCCTGGTTAGCACAGACTGACACATATTGGCATTTGGCTGAGTAGTTTTGGTACAGGTTCTTATGGTAGTAACTATCAGTATTGAATGGCAAGGACCGATAAAGTTAGTATCAACTGGTACTAGTTGGCATAGGTTGGCATGGATTGGTATAGGTCAGTGTGAGTTGGCACATACTTACACATGTTGGTGTATGGTGGCGCTGGTTAGCAGAGGTTTGCATGGGCTAGCACAAGATGTTCCAGATTAGCACTGCCTACTACCTATTGGTACTGAGTGGCATAGACTGGCACAGGTTGTTGCAGACAGTCATAGATTGGGGAGGGAGGACTGACAAGGCTGGCATCAACTGGCAAGAATGACACTGGCACCATGTGATACAGACTAACATGTGTATAGGTTGGCACTAATAGACTATGTGGCACATGTTGGCATAGGCAGATAATTCTTGGCACAAACTGTCATTGCTTGATATGGACTGGTATAAGTTAACATGTGCTGGCATTTATTGGCATAACCTGTTACATATTTGTGCCGACTGGTATTGCCTGGCACATGTACAGCCCTAGAGATCCCCAAGGACCACCAGGGTGGCCCCTGGTAAGTCCAGGCATGACAGGGCCTCAGGAGGATTGCATCCTCAGGCCCTTACATTGAGCTACCAACCTGCATGGCTCAGAATCCATGGGAGGGACCCCAGGGCTTAGTATCACTTTATTGGTAGGGCCCACACCCCTACCATGAAACAAAAACATAAGAACAGCTACTAACCATTCCCAGTGACACTGAAAGGGGCTTCCCAGCAAGCTTCATGCTGAGAAATGCTGAGAAATCTGCCCACAGGGCAATAGGGAGTGGTGGGACCTGCAGACGAAGAAGAGTCTGTCACCTTTTTTTTTTTAATTTTTATTAGTGAGTCTCGTTCGTTATCGGAATTAACCAGACAAATCGCTCCACCAACTAAGAACGGCCATGCACCACCACCCACGGAATCGAGAAAGAGCTATCAATCTGTCAATCCTGTCCGTGTCCGGGCCGGGTGAGGTTTCCCGTGTTGAGTCAAATTAAGCCGCAGGCTCCACTCCTGGTGGTGCCCTTCCGTCAATTCCTTTAAGTTTCAGCTTTGCAACCATACTCCCCCCGGAACCCAAAGACTTTGGTTTCCCGGAAGCTGCCCGGCGGGTCATGGGAATAACGCCGCCGCATCGCCAGTCGGCATCGTTTATGGTCGGAACTACAACGGTATCTGATCGTCTTCGAACCTCCGACTTTCGTTCTTGATTAATGAAAACATTCTTGGCAAATGCTTTCGCTCTGGTCCTGGAGCGATAGCAGGGCTGGAGCGATAGCACAGCGGGTAGGGCGTTCGCCTACAAGCAGCCAACATGGCCGACCCGAGTTCGATTCCTCTGCCCCTCTCGGAGAGCCCGGCAAGCTACTGAGAGTATTCGATATGCCAGACACAGTAACAGCAAAGTCTCCAATGGAGATGTTACTGGGCCCGCTCGAGCAAATCGACGATCAACGGGAGGGCCTTTACCTTTTATTAGTGAGACACCATGAGGTACAGTTGTAGACTTACAAATGTTTGTGCTTGGGTTTCAATTATACAATGATTGAATA